TGAACCCTGATTATGTTGAATTATTAAAATGATTTCAAAGCCAATATTAGCAGTTTTCTGCCCCATAGCACAGAAAGACAATAATATATCTTCTGAAGTTAACAGGGTAATTGATTATTACCAAGGACATGTTGATTACTAAGCAGCAGCAGAGAATTTTTAAATTCAAGGGTCACCCTGCTGCCTGTGGGACTTTAATATCAAAGTTTAATATAAAGCAGTTCTAGCAGGGATGTGATGACTCGATTCCAGACAGAAGTTATTGGACAGATTGCCAAAAAATGTGTTTCTGACATTTATAGGTCTAAGACTGTGAGGGGCACTGACAGTTTTTGGTTTTTTGAGGGGGATTTATAATTGATGGATTTCTGCCTGGTTTGTCTAACGGATGAATGACTCCTCTGAAAAAGCATAAAAAGCTTTTTTTCTTTTTGTTATTAACAATAAATCAAAGTGCTTTTGAGGCACCATTTCCATTTTAACATCACAGTATAACAGAAACTCATTAAAAATGCTACTGTGAAAAATGTATTGTCTGACTTTGGAGTGCCTTCATGTTTACTGCACTATTATGAATAATTGTGCACATAGATCCCCTTAGTACACGTGATGTGAGGAACAAAACCCACTGAGGTGACTTCTGACAGCTATTAGGCTTTGTTAAATCCCTTTTCCATCTCAGAAGATTCTTGTTAGAGATGGATTATTTTTCCTTACTGGCTTGCTTTGAAAAACAAACATGTCTGATATGAATATCATATTGAAGCAGAAACAGGAAGCAAAATGAAAAAAGCCTGAAATTAAACAATTATTCTGGGCTTCTCTTTTCACTCTGCCTTGGTCTCAGACTGCCAAACATGCCCCTGACTCAGAGACCAGATAAAAATGTCCATCAGGGCATCATGGCTTTGAACAAATCACACCCAGTTTGATGTTTGTTCAGAGCTAGAGTGTCTTTGCAAAGCAGTTGCTGATAGAAATCTTAAGACTTAGAGATACGGATCTTGAAATTGAATCAGGCCAAGACAAAGCTGGCTTTAGAGGGGAGATCTAATCTTCGGACTTTAGTTGCTGCTTTGGACAGTTCTAGAAGATTAAAGCAGTCTTAAGCCTGTCCCTGACAAGAGACCATTTCTTTTCAGAGCTGAGTCAAGGCAAAGTTTTAATGGTAAAGGCTCGTGACTGTATCAGTATGCCAAATTGGTTAAACTTGAGTTCAAGGGAAAACTAGACTTGGAATGGTATTGATGGTTAAGTCTAGGGCTGTAGGATTTTGCCCAAAATCAAAATTTATTTTGCAATTTTTGCAAATTTACGTTGCACAAGACTATAGCTGTTTTATTCAAGGGTTTCAGTTTTACATGACCATGAGTCCATTGGGGTATATTTTACCCTTTACCCATAGTTTAACTGTTGGGGGAAAAGGTTTTATTTCTACTGTCATGCATGGGTCTGCATGCAAGCTGCAACTATCTCTTCTGACCTGTGTTGAGGCAAACCAACTTTAAGCATATCACCTCCACCGAAAGAACCAGAGGGATAAATGTAGTGTCGTATTCTTGTTAAATGTAAATTGACTAAAATTGAGTGTCTCTACAATTTGAAAATTGTGTTTTGCTACATTGTGATTATATTGCATAATAATTGCATAATTGCTCAGCCCTAGTTAAGTCCCATTGTGGGTATTGTTTCCTACTACTATCCCAGGGCAGAACCCAAAGGTTAATTCCGTATGCTTTAGTAGACTGAAAGCAAACAGGCAGATTGCAACTGATTAACATGGCCTGATACTGCCTTCAGCATCAATCACTTTAGCTTCAACATAGCAGTAAGGTTTTTTTGGCTGAAAAGAAACAGCAAGACCTCGACTAAGGACTTTAATAGGTGTAAATGTTTGATAATGGCTGATATTGATGTTTTACGGTTGGAGTCAATTGAAAGGACAACTCTCTCAGCTCTGAGAATGTATTCACCTTTATAAATATATTATTATTTCTGAGAATAATTTTACAAACTAGTCTCTTTAACCCCATTTTATAATAACAAGTTAAAGAACTATTGCTGATCATAACTGCCAGTGTCAGATTGGATGGAGGTTTGAAGGACCCAAATGCAGAGACTGAAGCTGAGGTGGTTACTGTAAGTTTAATAACAAAAGGTGGTAACTGAAGCAAAATTTAAAAATACCAAAAACCAGAAAACATCAGGAAAACTCACGAGGGTTAATGAAATGACAACAAGGAACCAGCAAACGGTTACTGAACAGGAGGTGTGAGACAGTAAGAAAGACCAGGCTAATCAGCAGATTGGGAGCAGGTGTGGACAGAGGAATCTAGAAGGGAGCTTGGGGAAAGTAGACTGACACGAGAGGGAAGAGGAGGGCAAACAAGAAATATAAAAGAACTCAAATACATCCAGAAAACACCACAAAATGAAATTAAACCAATAAAACTAGAAAACACAGAAAAAACATTAAAACTCAAAAAGAAAACTTAAACAGAACCAAAAAGTGCAGTCATGACAGACAGAACAATCTGAACTACCCATTCAGTGCTACAGTTCTTGACCTCTTTTTCTTTTCTTCTTAAAATGAAGAAATGTACCCCTCTTTTGGACATGACGCTTCAGTTTTTATCTCAAAAACATAATAAAAATATTTTTTCTTAATCTTGATTAAACATTTAACATAATTTATACACACAAGAACATAATTTAACACAGAATCAAATTAGGTTCCTTCCCTATGCTTCCTTTTGTTAATGTTTAAAGATAGACAGTTTTGCACATTTTAAGGTTGTGTTTCTCGTGCAGTCAATAATTTGCAGCTTTGAATGTATGTTTAAAAACTGGTTGTGCCATAAGAGCTATAAAACATGCTTATTAAAGCAAAAGTGGTCTACAGTGGTCTCTAAAATGTAAAGATCTTTTACTGAATCTGCTAAAAGCACTCTCAGGTTAAGGTGTTTGACCTCCGTATTTGTGCTGATTGCAAAGTGTTATAAAGTGATGAATATGCAACCCAGCTTGTGAATTTGTGTAAGTGTGCATGTTTGTATTTTACACGCAACTTCGTGTATTTGTGGACAGAAAACAAATGTCGTCCATGCAGGGCCACACATCAGATTTGCCGTTGCCCCTGGTGATGCGGCTACTGCTCAGCGGTATCCATTGGTTACCTAAACATTGTGGCTGTGTGGAGATAAAGGAGGGAGCAACATGCAAACACAGCCTCTTAAATTATCACACCGTTTTTTCTATCTGTGCTGCATTTTCTTTATGTACTTTTTGAACTACATTCCTTGTTTTGCTTCTGTGTCACTGTGTCGCGTTTCAGTTCATCAATTAGATTTTAATATGAGACAAAGATCTGAACTGAGTAAATATAAAAATGTTTTAAAGAATGATTAATTTACTATGGGACAAATCAGCTTCCCTAAGTTAAAAGTGATCATGCAGTAACCCTGGCCTCAATAAGGTAATCCCAAAACATCTAAAATAATTTAGCCCTAAGCTATGCACACACACATCTAATGTTTTTGGACTGTGGGAGGAAGCCAGAGTACCTGGAGAGAACCCATGCATGCACAGGGAGAACATGCAAGCTCCATGCAGAAAGACCCAGCTGGGAATTAAACCTGGAACCTTCTTGCTGTAAGGCAACTGTCCTACAATCTGTAGCAGCCAATCTGTTATCTATATGTTATGTGGTGTGAACCATCATAGCATAACACAATTAATCTTTAGCTTATGGTCAAAAATAAATCACTAGTTCTTCTCCTTCAGAATGTTCTGTTTCACAGTAGAATGCAGGACTCAGTCAACTAAAGGCAAAGCCTGCAGCTCCCTGAAGCAACTTGCAGCCGTAGGTTGTTAAAATCACAATGTTTTACTGCTGATATCTTTTTCTAAAATGCTGATAGTTTTATGCTACATGTTTTAGGAGTCATATATTTTCTGAAGGTTAGGTGTTTGTTTTACCAGCCACTTCCCCTACAGCCTTGCTGATAATTTAAAATGTTTTTAGGCTACTTTGAATCAGGCATCAAGAGCTCCGTTAGCCAACGCCATGTTTTTCAGATAGGTTCTATTTAGATGATTTCTTGATTCAGCAGGTTTGGCAGTAATTGGGTCTAAATATGGCTCCTGAATTTGATGTATACATTTTCTTCATGGTTTTAACAAAAAATGGGATTTCTTTTTTTTTTTTTACAGTAATAGAAATGATTATAATAAACCGCTGCCATGTTTGTTTTTTGTTGTTCTATTATACTGCAACACTCACCTCCTTAGGTGGAGTTGTTTACGCAATCATGTGTATCAAATTTACCAGCTAGGCATAGCATTATTATTAATAATGGCTGACTAGAACAACACATAATATTTTTGGGGGGGAATCAGAAAATATGTTGTTTTGACTGTAAATTATGATTGGGAAGGCAGCTGTCTCCAAAAACCACTAGGTATTGCATGGTGTTAAAGGTCTGCAGTGGCAAGAGGTCCAAGGAGGAAACTTTGATTAATTGCTACAGGGCAACCAAGAGCTATAGATGTAGATTAGGACTGAAGACATGGTTTGGTCTGATTAAATGGACATACTGACTGCTACTGATGAGAAGTTTTCTGTTGGTAATTATAGAGAGGTATCATAGCGAACACTGATACCTTTTGCTGCATATAAAACATTGTCAATAATTAACTTTTTCATAATTTCATCCTTATGCAAAATGCTTTAAGCTTTATTGAAGCTGAGAATTAGAAATCTGTTTGTTTTTTCCTTCACTGCATTGGTTTCAAAGCTCAATGATAAAAATTTTACATCTTTTCATTTTACATTTTCAAAATATTGTACCTTCATATATATATGTTCAGTCCTCTTTAATTCCTTATTGTTAAATCTTTCCTTTCCGTCTTTAAAACCTCTTTTTTCTTCTCTCCTTTGCTCATTGTATTTATGTTTTACTGTACTCTTCTTCTTCCTGTCCTTCATGCCTCTTTCCTAGCATGGCCGTACCGAGTTTTCCTGGGAAGGAATCAATGTAAGTCTCCCCCTTTATGTCTTAGCAGATATCCTCTTCCTCCCGTCATTTTACCCTCCATCTCTTTGACTGCCTGAGTTTGAGCTGTGAGAACATAAGTTGACATCTGTCCACCCCTCGCCACTCTTTCTCTCCTCCTTATCTGTCTTTTCCACTACTCGCTCTCATACGAAGCTGCTTCCTTTTCCACTGGTAAATTCTCAGTCTTCCAAACTCCTTTTTTAGCCCCTACTAATCCACTATGCTGCAAGGAATCTATACTTTCCTATATGTCCAGAGTAACAGAAAACAGACTGTAATAGCTTTACAATATCCTTAACTGAAGAATGAGTCCCAGAAAGGGCACCTTTAATGGATCTTCAGTAGAATTTATTTGCTGATGTAAATAAATAACATGGGGTCAAAGCATGATTCTTCTTGTTAGGGGGATTTAATTACTGCTCAAAGTGCTTGTTTTCCAGGACAAGAAGGGGCTGCTGCACAGGAAGCAGAACTTATAAGGATATACTTAGTGTATATTTATACATACCTGAAAATGGGTATCATAGGTCAGACCTGGTAATACTGTGCACAATGTGCATCTAGAAATACCATCCAACCCCTCCAACCCGGCTTTATGGCTCCATTAGCCTAAAATTAGCTGATTCTAATCAACCTGCTGATTTCACTGCTCATTTCTGTCAGTATCATCCAAACATTTCCTGCTATTTTTCCTCCTGTAATTAACCTTTCCACAGCTCCATGCATAGGACATCATTCCACTGTTCTATAGGCAGAATCTGTGTTCTTTTGGGGTTAATTTAAAAATAAGCTCCTTCTTTTACACATGCCTTTGTTGTATTACGTTTGATTTATTTCTCTTCTTAGCTCTCACGTCTTAAGGATTTTCTCTTCAAACTAATGACGCCTGGAAGCCATTGACTGTTTGCTAAAATAATTAACCCTTCTTTTTTACTTTTATAACTTCTCCCCTCTCTTATTTCATCCAATCCTTTCTGTAAATCTTCATTCACCTGGTCTTTTAAAACCCAATTTCTTTTGAAATCCTCTCGAATGCATTCATCTTCCTTGTCTATTCTTATCTTGTCATTTTCCATGTCACATTGATTTTCCATCTCCTTATCTTATCGGCAACATCTTTCATCGCTCTGCATACTGTAACCTCGATTTTCACTCCTCTTCTCACTAACCGTTAATTCAACCATACTTTACTCCCCCCCCCTTTTCTCTGTAGTTGTCTATGGAGGATACTACTTCTATTCTGCCACGACTCAAGAGGAAGTCCGCCAACAGTTATGGGATTGGTGCCCTGGCTAAGTCCTCTCTGACAGGTGTGTCAGGTGTGTGTCTGTGCTACTAGGTGGTAAACAGCCCCCATGTTGCTTCCACATGCTTCAAAGTGGGTCAAGGGTGAAGCTGATGTTGACTAAAAACAAGGTCGGAACTTTTATAGGCGTAAAAGAGTATCGATGTTTCTTGGTGTGTGGCTCAAATGTTTTTTAGTTTTTGTAGTTAAATAATACATCTGAGGTTTGATTTAACTGTATAAATATGACAGAATTATTTTTAATCTTTGTTTTAAAAGTGATCTGACTTTATTTATTTTGCATCATCTCACGGCAGTCGTTTAAACAGTATGAAAAACACCAAATCTAGACTAAACTTGTCTAGAAAACTTGCAATATGATACGTGTCATGATACAATATTATCATGATATTGCAATATCACTATATTTTGCAATATTTCTCCCAGATATCAAAATAAATGTATAGATAAAAAAGCAAGTATTTTCACCAGAATATGTTGATCATTTAGTTATTTTGGTATCATGTTGTTTAGGGTTTGAGTCAGAACACTTCTTTTACTGTGTCTGCCTCAGCTACAGATACAGCGCTGCACAGCAAAAGGGCTCAATAGCACTATCTGCCAGAGTGGTGGTGCTGAGGTAGCCCGTTTTCCCTCATTGTTTTAGGTGAAATTATTATTTTAAAAAAAAATCGATATTAGGAACTGAAAGATCGATATATTGGGCAGCCACAAATCTCAATATATCGCAAAATCGATTTTTTTCCCCCACACCCCTACTAGAAATACAGCCCTAATTATGAAAGAATTTTAAAGGATTTCACCGTCGGACTAAGCGTCTGATGCCAGAAGAAAGAAACCTTTTTGTTTTTAAAGCTACAGAAATCCAGCAGAGGCAGGTTGAGTCAGATTGTTTGTTAAAGAAATTTAGTCTTTGGATTTTTCCAACACAGAAACCTTTTCTCATCTAATCGCATTTTAGCTTAATGTGAATTATAGCAATCACTGGCAATAATATATTAGGTTATTCAAACCCTTCCTTCAAGGATGTGAAAGCAAACAATTTATTTTACAAAATAAGCGACAAATAAAACAGATTTAGCTTGAAAAACCTAAGATGCTTTCATTAAAACTGTGTATTCCGTGATTACAGGTCAGCGTCTCCTTATTCCAGCAACATTATAGGAATATAAAGTCCTTTCAGATGAAGCAATTTATGGCTGAAACACTGATTGGGAAGATGTCCTGTACTAACCAGGGATGAGAGCAATTTATACCACCATAAAAATTGGTAAGCAAGAGAAAAAAGCAGAGATCATCTGCGATGTGAGGTGGAAATTTGGGTGGGAATTTATTTTAATAACTAGAGTCCCTCCACAGAGCAACCTTTCAGTATTACTACTTATTGTTTTGTGACACACGTTAAAAATTGTCTAAGCATGAAGAAATCTTTTCATTAAAATATTGTGAAAAACAAACAGGAACATCTCTGTTTACTAATGGAGACCTTTGCAATGCTGCTCCTTGATATGACTACCTTCTTTCAAACCCAGCTTGTACAAAAACCACAGAAGTTTCAAACTCAGCCACACATTTATGGGACAAAACTTAATGAGCCAACACCCCCGTTGTTGGGGGTTTGAGTCTGAGCGTGATTCTAGAAAACAGCACAATTATCTTTATATTAAGAAGCCATTCCAAATAAGGGAAGAACCTTTTCTTTAACTAGAATTAAAGTCGACCTTTTTTAGAGTCTTCATGTCCTGGAAGAGTGAAAATATTTATTAGCATATCATCAAAAACATATTTTAAGTAGGTATGATCAAAGTTAATGTAAAATAATTAACAAGTAATTACATATTTGAGTTGTGAATAAAGGTTTTCTATTTTTTTTTTATAAAAATATTTTGGCATTTTCTTCCTTATTAAAAAAAATAAAATAAAAGCTTTATCACAGCTTTATTATAAATACACAAAGTAAAGATTTATTAGTGTATTCAATCAACTATTCAGGCTGACCAACTTGTCTACTTTACTCTTTAAGTCTTTTATTTTTCTTAGTTTTTATCCAAGTAATTATCCATTTATTTCTATGGTCTAACCCAAACCCTGCACCTAATCTAATCTCAATTCACACCTAATCCTCAACCTAACCGCCAACCAGTATTGGTCCCCATGAGGACGTGTAGGTCCCCACATTGTAACATATTCATGGGAAATGTCCCTACAAAGGTACCAAAACTACACACACACACACACATACATAGACACACACACACAGAAAACACAGAAACAATCTCTTTAACTTACCAACAAAGGTCAGATTTGGTAAATCCAGCCTTGCTTCAACATTTGTTTTCACGCTTGACCAGCAGGAAGGAAAGGAGCTTGGAACCAACATGACTGCCCCTGTGGGTGCCCCTTCCTAGATCACTTTCTATTGTTCTTCTCTCTCTCATTGATATCAACAGACGTCAATGACACATGTCAGAGTCATTGATGGAAATCCAATCAGGTTTTTGATTTCAAAGAATCTAAAGTAAGAGACGTGGCTTACTTTAGCTGCCCACTGAAGCATCACCACAGGAGTGTTGGGGAATGCTGTGTGTTGAAACGTGGCAGTCTGCTGTAACATATCTGTGGAGTAGCTGCTCTTGTCTGCAGTGCTGTGACTACAGTGGCTGGTTTTGTCTTTGCTTCTGACTGCAGTGCTCTGTGTGCTCAGCATCTTTTAGTGTCTGTGAAAGTTAAACTATTTGTCTTCTATGAAATAAAGGTGTGTGGTTAAACTGTTTAGCAGTGTGGAGTATCACTCTAAAGCCTTTAAATTGAATAACCAAGACCCCAACACCCTCCTTCATTCTTCATCTCCATCTACTCCATTCCCATCCCCAGCTGGCTCTGCAGCAAGAGTTTGATTTTTACATAAGATTGGCTCTTTTTGTCTCACTGTGTCTATTTATAGCTCAGCCGACAACCTGCCCTGTGGACCTGGGGAGAAATTTCCAAAGCTCTGTCTCTGTTTATTCATGGCTGCTTGATTTTAATGACTTTTTTCTATAAACCAGTGACCTTGAACCCATTTAACTTAAATAATATTTTCAATGTTTTGAAAATATATTTGGATCTTAATTGGCCAAAGATTTGTCCACTGTTCTTGTAAGGGAAGCACAGTATGGACTCAGATTTAATGATTTTCCAGGAGTTCTTGTAGCGATGAATCTGCTTTTTACAAACTAGGGCGTACCAGCATTTGCTCTGAAAATTCAAACTAAAGCTTTTCTTTATTAAAAGCTCCTTGGAGTATAGTGACTGCTAGACTGTCTTGACTGCAGTCATACTTAAACAAGCAGTCAACAGTGGAACACTTGGAAAAAAGCCTTTGAGACAGTAACAATCAGGGAAACATTGGAAAAAATAATACTGTGCTTGCAAAAATGTTAATTTAAACTAAAAAAAAAAGCAGCAATACAACAGATTCAAACTGTAGCTGACATTTTATTTCATTTTAATCAATAAAATAATGATTGTTTAAGTTTAACAGCTAAACAAAAACGAAAAAAAGAAAATCCAAACCAATTTTTAAGTGTTTATAGATTGAATTTAAACTAGATATCAGAATAATTTTGCTCTCTTGCTTTTTTCTTTTATAAAGGACACAACAAGATCAAATCTGCTTTGTTTTTAACACAATATAAAGTGTTTTCAGGCAATCTAAGCTAAATTTAATAAATGGTAAAAACTGCCTGAAGCTGAGGGAGCATTTACCAGAAGGTAAACTTTTGTGCTTCATGCTGAACTTATAGATGCATTGCACAAGTTTAAAAGGTAAATATAAATATTTTTCCAAGTTACCTTTTAATTGCCCAACATGCAAAATGAATTTCCCCTCAATTGTCTGCAGTTAAAACTGCACCTGGGAATATAAAATGTTTACATGGAAACTATTTAAACCTATAAAACAGGTCAATTCCAGAAGTCCAATTAGAATAAATTAAAAAATCTACCACAAAAAAGGTCCTTTTCAGGCCAATTTATCAAAAGACAAGAAAGAAAAATAAATGTCCTATCTACTGTACAGTATATCACATTTAGAAAGCTCAGGCTGAAGGAGGATAGGAGTGGCTCCCTTTAAACTAAAAGAAACCTCACACAGAAAAAGGTTCAGCTTTAGGGGCCAAAAGCTCAGACTGGTTTGGGAGGAAAATGAAAGATGCTGTCGGTCCAGTGAGAGCAACATAGAAGCACCTGATGTGAACGGAGTAGCAGAGCAATCCTCAGCTACTCCTGAAAGGTTTCACTGAGCTGTCTGAACCTCTGATGACTTAAGAAGAAGGGAATGAAGGTAATCTACTTTACAGAAAACCGTGACGCAGACTAAATGTGTTTTTAGTCAGAGCAAGAGATGTTCTCAGTTCTGTTGGTCACCTCACATTTTGCCACATGAGGACAAGCATTAAAGTTGAACTTTTAATGCCTGACTGATATCTCCAGCCATGGTATCTAGGGTCAAAAAGATCAGCTCCATTACAGTTTCTCATCCTCATTCTGTGCCTCACTTGGAGGTGTAGCTGTTTGTAGAGGCCAGAAGATGTTTGACAGTTTGTGTGTGTGTGTTTGTGTCTTTCCTGGTGTGTTGCTGGCCTGCGACTCCTGCAACCCTCTGTAGGTGTGACCCGGTCCATGAAGGACAAGGTGACCAAGCCCACTGCCATGGCCCAGGGTCGGGTCGCCCACATGATCGAGTGGCAGAGTTGGGGAAAACCATCGGCGGGGCCGTTAGGGGGCGCGGGTCATACCAATTTGCAGCGACAAAAAGAGAGGAGGATGGAAAACGACGCTTACAGCGACCTCAGTGATGGCGAGAAGGAGGCTCGCTTCGCAGCAGGTGAAGATACAACCATGAATTATTATCTTATTGATTATATCCCACAGCTGCTCTTTGTTTGGCTCAGAAATATGCTGGATTAGGATTACATTTACATGCTTTCAACAAATCCTGATATCTCGATTGGAGCAAACACTATATATTCTCCTCCACTGCTCTGAAAGCTGCTTCTCCATGTTAATGACTGTTGTTACCTCTGTCACTTTAATTACTAATTAACATCTGTATGCAACAGCAAAGCAAGGTCTGAGATTCTTACTGTATGGTGCACTCCATCCCTAATTAGTAAGATAAGGCATCATGCTGTTCAATGCCAGGTTTCCAACAAGAGTCCCACTGTGTCTCAGCTTGTACTGATGGCTCTCTGTCTCCTCCTCAGGTATCATGCAGCAGTTTGCGATCTCTGAGGCGACTCTGTTTGGCTGGAACTCGATGGATGGGGAGAGTATGGGAGCCGGCTCCAACCAGGGCAGCGTCGCTCACCTGAGCGAGGTCAACCAGGAGAGTATTACCAGCAGAGGTACATGTACTTAACAGCTTTGGATGCTTTAGACTTTGTCTAACTACATGTTTATATGGAAAAACTGATGGAAAAGTGAATCTTTAAGGTAAGAAGAATGAGTCCTTGGTTAGGTTTATATGTTAAACCTTTGGGGATTCACCTACAAACATGTACATACAGTTTGTTGGATTATGAGCAGGGCGTGTTTACGTCTGTTTGTATAGTTGAGTAAAAACAAGCTGGTTCAATGTGGAGGAGTCATGGCTGACATCAGTTGCGAGTTAAAGGCTGTCAACGTGCAAACAATATAATGTCCTAAAACATAATATTGTTCTTTTACTACAAACAAAAACTCTAATCACATCTACATAATTGTATTGCAGCTCAGTTCTCCAACCAATGACACATTAAAATGTGCAAATTAGTATTCAATCAGATGTAATTCTTTAAATCTTAATTATTTAATAAGTTATTCACAAACATGTATTATTCCATAATTTAACTAACCTGACTCCGCTAGATAGATTTGCTTCGCATATCCATCTGGAAAAACCTTCCGTAGAAGTAATTTTGGGAAGGGGCGAAAATACTGGTTAGCTGATTGGCCTATGTTGGTGATAGACNGAAGTCAATGGGATTTTGATGCATCGCAATGCATCGTAGAATCTAATTGAATCGAATCGTTACCTGGTGAATCGTAATCGAATGGAATCGTGAGGGCAGTGCCAATGCACACCCCTACAGGTCAGATTGGACCCCGGGTCCACCACATCGGGGACTAAGGCCTCCGTTCATGGGTTGTACACAGTAACCACTGCGCCACCGAAGCAACTGATTAAATGTTTAAAATAATATACTCAGACAGTCATGTGGAAAGTCCAGTATTTCAAAGTAATATAATCAAATAAGTGTAAAAAAAAAAAAAGACAAGATATGAAATCTAGATAGAAGAAGCTGTTTTCCAAATCATCTCTTTAACATAAACTTAGAAAACCAATCCTACAATAACAGTTACTTATGTATTTATGTCTGGGAAAAATATTCCAGCTAAAGTATCGACTGTCTGCGGTATTTTCACCTGATATCCAAATAGCTAAAGTTACTTGCAGTGGGAAAATTTACTCAAGTAAAAGTAGATAAGTAGATAAAAGTAGATATATTACTCAAGATAAAGTAAAAAGCACAGAAGAGTACAACAACCAAGTTTCGTTGTGAGAAAGGTATGATAGTGGTAAGTTATAGTTTTAGATATCTGTTAAACCGGGCAGTTGCACAACTGTCCCAGGTTCATGTTGGACTTCTGTTTATGTTTTGTTTGTTTTTTTCCTGTAGCATGTTTAGTAAAGGTTGTGCTCTCCATTGATTTTTCCTTCCACATTGTTGTTTTCCTGCTAACCTGACTTGGCCAGATGGATTTGCTCCGCATATCCATCTGGAAACCTTCCGTTGAAGTAATTTTGGGAAGGGGTGAAAATACTGGTTACCTGATTGGCCTATGTTGGTGATAGACGGGCCAAATAAACCAATCAGATCCACGAAGCATATGACGTACTAACAGAGCGACGACGAAGAGGAGCCAATTGATAGATCAAACTCTTGCGGAAACCAGTCAGGAGAAGAGCAAAAACATCTTTTCCTCTGAGAAAAGCCTCCAGAGCAGTGTTTTGCTCTTCTTTCAGTGAAGAAATACTCTGTAATTCCAATAAAACTTGCTTGATAGACACGCTAACTCTAGTTTCATCGGCTGAAGCCGGCATGTTCTTTAGACTGAACTGTCGCGTTTCTCGTTGCGTCACACCTCAACCCGCCTCAAAGCCAACGCTGATTGAACGTTCGTTTGGCGATTGAAATCTTGAAAGCTCGCAAGATCAGGATGGTCTCACGAGGCTACAATTTAACCTCCAGTCGTATTTAAAGTTTAGAAATTAGGAAAGTTAAATAAGTAACTAGCAACTGTAACAAGTTATATTTCCAAACATGTTCCCAGCACTGGTAATTGCAACTTACCAACTTTATTGGAAGAGGTTGTTGGTTCACGGTTCAATAGGAACTGAATACAGGCTGGCAGATTGTATGATTTACTTCTTTATAAATTAATAGATTTAATTGTCTTGCTATTAATATCCCAGATGAGCATTCCTTCTGGTGACTTTATAGTGTGCAATATAATTTTTTTCGCCTGTAAATACTTTTAAAATCTGCTTTACCTTCAAGTTACAACTCAAAAACCAGAGTAAGGGTGAGTTTAATATCTACGTTTGCAACCCTGTTAAAAAATTAGAAAATAAAGTGTTGTTTTGGTCTACCTTTTTTATTTCTTTGCTGAATGGAAACCTGTCACCCTTTGATACCTTAAGATTCTCTCTCCTCTGTTTTTGGTCCACCTTTTTAAAAAGAAATGGTGGAGCACTGAGTTCTGTACTTTAGTTCTTAGAACAGTTGTATTTATTTTACTCTGGTGGATAAAACCCAATAACCTGACTCCGCCAGATGGATTTGCTCTGCATAGCCATCTGGAAACCTTCTGTTGAAGTAATTTTGGGAAGGGGCGAAAATATTGGTTAGCTGATTGGCCTATGTTGGTGATAGACGGGCCAAATAAAC